TTATCTTCATTTTAGATATCAAAAGGGTCTCTCTCCCCCTCCCTCTCTCTCTCCCTCACCTTCTCTCTTTCTGCCCTTGGTCTGCCAGTCCTCTTCCCCCTCTTTCTTTCTCTCTCTCTCTTTCCTCTCTCTCTCCCTCTCTCTTTCTCTCCCCCCCTCCAATCTTCTGCTCACCTGGCAAGCTGGCTTCAAGCTGTTCGCCAACAAACTGAGGGATAGGCAACCTCCGCTCATTTTATGACTCATGGACTTCAACTCCCAGAATTCCTGAGTCAGCATAGCTGGGCTAGCTAGCTCTCTCCTGCCTTTCCTGCTTCCTGCAGAGATGCAGCAAAGGGAGGAGCTCCGCCCAGTAAGCTTCTCAACTCCTCGGAGAACACCGTGAGTCCACTCTCTTTTACACACACACACACACACACACACACACCACAACACAACCACAAAGAGGCAGACAGAGACAGAGAGAGAAGCAGGGAAGCGCAAGTGCCTGTCTCTGTCTCTGTCTCTGTCTGCAAATTGCAGAGGAGGCTGGGAGCCACAGGGGAAGGCTCAAAGAGCCGCATGCGGCTCCGGAGCCGCAGGTTGCCGACCTGTGATTTAGAGGCAGAAGAAAATGCTTTACTTGCTCCCAGAATCTAGAAACTTCAATAGGTCATTGTAATTAATAAAGACTAATTGAAAAAAAAAAGTCTGGTGTTATCAATGAGGTGCCTGTCATACATTACAAAAGTGTGTGTGAAACTTAGTTCTTTGCAGAAAGGTAATGCAAAAGCTGAAAATTGATGCAACCAATCTCTCATGGATTTTTTTAAAATTCCTATCCATTAAATTGCTGGTACTGTCATTAAAATATATTCATCCTTGGACTCAGACAGCCCCAGCTATCTACAATGCACTCTTTGAAAGTCAAATGGAGTTACAGTTAATTTATCCAAGGTATGTTTAAAATCCAATGTTCATTCTAAAGTGTCCAGTATATTTCCTAATTTTTAAATATCCTTCGATTAATATAACATAAAAAGGAAGTTTCCCTATACCTCAATGCAAGCTTGGAACATAACAAGCTCCTATAAATCCCCAGTTAAAATATTCAGTCTTTTGTGTACCTGACAAATTAATTTCTATGGATTTTCACTGACAAGTGATAGCTAAAACAATAAACTCCATCTCCCCAAAAAGATGCAAAGCATCCCACATAAGCTAGGCATCCCACAATTATTTCTCAGAGCGTAAGTTGGCAGACTTGATAGTTCTTTTGTCTTGAACCTTAGAAGTGCTCCATGAGAGAGACCAAGCCAACAAAAGAACATTCCAGTTAGAGTCATAGTAGAGTGGTAGATGAAAATCAAGCTGTAGAAATCAAATTGGTTCCACCCCAAGTTCTGGATTGCCCATGCAAGTTATGCTTAGTAATAATACCCAGAGGGAAAGAAGAGAGCACAGGGCATTTGAACTCACGCGGTAGTAGTTTGAACATCATGCCAGCTTTTGCTGAAGTTCTGCTTCAGCTCATTCACCAGATTGATGCCCAGTTTTTGCTTTATTTCCATAAGGTGCTTCTCTTTGGCTGCTAAAACTTGGCGTAAAGTTGCAATTTCATCCTCAAGCTGCATATAAGGAATAAAGCAAAGGAAAAGCTTGGATTATTACTCCTTGTTGTTCGTGCCCATTAATTTTAAGTGCCACAGTTTCCTTAAGTACAATAATGCCAAATAATTGGATTCCCATCAAATATATATTGCTTTTATATTCACTTAAAGAATGCCAAAATTAATGAATATGACTATTCATGAAGAAATAATGGGGTCAAATAATGGGCTTATTATAATTCTAAAAAATATGCACCATTATACAGCAGATCTTAGCAATGGTTATGTTAAGGCTGAACTTAGGGGTGCAAGGGTAGTCCAGGAACGTCTAAGCTGCACTATGCTTTTGGTGGTAACAGTTCGGTCACCGCAATTTTTAGCTTCCAGATGATCTTCAAAGGCATCTCCATATACATCACACTGCTGTAGTTTATGCATGTGATGATGAGGATTACAAGGTACCTGAAGCTGGATAAAGATCCCCCGTACATGGCCCTCTCCACAGGTTTACCAGAAAGACCTCCCCCCCCCCAGGGAGTAATGCTTGAGTAAGACTTGGAGCTGGCTGAAAACCTTGAATACAAAACAGTAGCATTGTCCTGTTTGGGTTAAAACTTTAATCTATTATACTCCTGCCAGGAACTGGGATAAGACTTCCACAGCATCTCCTGTTCATTCTGGCATAGTAGGAGCGAGTTATACCAAAGCTGGGTGGAGTTAGCATACAGATGATACCAAACTGCAAACTAACAGGTGATGTCTCCCAATGGGTTAATATAGATATTAAATCCTGAAAGAGGAGAACTGAACCCTAAAGTATCCCACAGTTGAGTGATCACTGCCCTGACTTTTTCTCTGTGAAAACCACTGACTAAAACCGCCCATTAAGGAAGAAGTAGAAGCACTGTAAAACCTTAAACCCATAACTTATGGCAGGCAAAAAGGACACCATGGCCAATTGTGAATGTTGGGTGCACTCCAGCAACAAAACGACTACTTCCAAGGTTATTTTCATTTCTCCAAAAAGGGTCTTGGGGTTTTTTTTTTGTGGAGTTGTCTAATTAGATTAAATGAAGAATAGAAGATCTGCCTCCCAATGCCTGGCCAGTCGTGGCAAGTACAACATAATTATCAGAGTATCAGGAGAAGGAAAGAGAGTGGTGGAGTTGGTAAGAAGAAAGCAAGGTGGCTCTAGAACAAGAAAGGGCAGTGTGGGTGATAAGAACTCCAGAAAGTTGTGTAGCTTCCCCTGAAATCTGATAAAAACCCTGGGATATGCTGAAAACCTGGGGTTTCTCAAAGGTGCAAAAAGAAATTATGAGCAAAATAAAGATAATTATTGTATGTACTCCTCCACTGTTAAGACAACTCCAAATAAAACCTCACTTTATGGGCCATGAGATTCATAATTTAAAAAAAAAATACCCCATTCAAGAAACTTCCTGTGCCAGAGCATAAAAATAAATAAAAACATCCCCAAACCCAACTAATCTTATATATTATCACTAAGCAAGATACAATGTTATTGCATCTTAATTTAACATTTACATGAAGATATAAAGTGCAATGCAAAATTTGAAATGTCCTCCACTACACAGCTGTTCCAGCCATTCCAGAATCAAATCAATACACTGTTTTCAAGCTCTAAATTGTCCTGGACTGGGTGAAATGGCATTGCATTTCTTCCAGTAAGATTGGAACAAGCTGTTTCAAATCTAAAACTTTCCCCATTCAAACTTTTGAGCACTTCTACTATTATCTGAATCTTCTAGGCTAGGGGTTGGGCATATCTTCCTATGATACTTGACTTAATATGCAAACATAGATAAAAGACAAAAGTAGATAGAACAGTTGAAAACCAGTTGCCAAATAAACATAAAGCAGCCTGTTTGCCTGCTTATTTATTATCCATAACAGCTCTCATGTAAAAATCCTGGAATAAAATAAAGATTCTGTAAATATCCAAAAATCATGCAATGGTGAGCTATGGATTATTATACATGGGGATTTCTATACATATGTCTCTTGAAACAGTGGTTGCGAAATTTAACTAAGACAGTCTATATATTAACAATTTAAAAATTGGCTCCTGCATTATAAGGCAGCATGTTTAAAAGAAGGAGTCTTAAAAAGATCTAGGCTGAGAAAGAATGGAATGCAAAATTTAGGGTTATAATAAAACTAGCTGGTATAGATAAGAATTCTGCTTCATCTAGATCAGGGGTGTCAAACTGCCAGCCCGCGGGGCAAATGTGTCACACAGAAGCCACCCCAACTCCGGCAAGGGGAAAAAAGTCACAGTACATCGTGACACGTCACGTGATGCGGCGAGTTTGACACCCCTGATCTAGATCTACCAGCTCTGACCTGCAAATTTGGTAGCTGTAACTTCATATGTTATAATGTGGTAGAGTTGATGAGGAGAAAGAGGACCAGATATGATTATAATATTTATAGTGTTTACTACTTTTGGAGAATGTAGTCAGGTTTAATAAATATCTTCAACTACTGACTGTTTGAAAAGGTGTGGAAAAACACGAGGCCCATAGCTTCCAATGGAAGGGTAACAGCTAATCTAAACAAGCAAAAATTCATTCAGAAAATTGGTAAACTTGGAGAAATTTCAAACATTTCTGAAGGCAAATCTCCAGGGCATTTCTTTGAAACAATGAAACAGTATGGGATCTGAATGTTATGAATGTTCTAAGATCAGAATTGACCTTGATTCCATAATCACAAAAACTACAAAACAATTTGCACCGTGGCATGTGCTTTGAGGATAAAGGTCTTAACCTCACCTCACATCAGTAAGAAGGAAACACTGGAGGATAAAAACTTACAGAGCTAAACATAAAATTCTTTGTACTTGATTTTGACTCAATTTTCTAAATCATAAACAGATACACATAAATAACCAAGTGACCAGGAATGGATAATCCTGGTTCTTCAAACTATTAGGTGTGGCCCACCAAAACAGATGTTGAATTATGATTTTTTTAATGTGACATAATAGTAAAATAATGCTCATTAGTATCAACAATAATATTTATCACATGTAATATTCATCACATTTAAGTTTTCAATAATCTACCCAAAGAATTTCAGTTATTGGTACATTAAAAACATAATAAAGAAATGATAATAAATAAGTTTGATTTATCTTGACACCACCCATATTTTTATACTTGTCTATTGTGATGTGATGCTGCAAACTCCAACCTTGTATACTTGTATCAAAATGCTATTTGCAGGTATATCACTTAACATAAGTAGCACTTTAAGGCATGTTTTGACACATGCACACATGCACAAGTCACTCACTGGTTAAAAGGTTAAAAATGAAAATTAATCCAATAACCATATGCCCTCTCTTGGGAGGAGCATGGTGACATTTGTCCCCAAATGCTATTCCAAAATATAGCAAAGCTAGAGTGACTGGGTATCTAGAGGTAAGCTGTTCAACAGAGGGAGTCTTTAGGTCCCTGAATATGGCATTCCTTTAATGGTGGAACCCTCAGCAGACTTATGGGAAAGTTATGGCAAATTGAAGATGGCTGTGCATTTTTGCACAGCCAATGACCACGGGAAGTTGCCAAACAAATTAGCATTTAAAACACCTCCCTGGATAAAGGTGAGGACCAGGGATCACCGATAAGTGCTCTACACACTGCTTTCCATAAGGATACTGAAAAACAGCATTATCCAGCAGATTTTAGAGCACTGGGGGCCAAGGAAAAGTCAGCTTTCCCAAGCCACAGTTCAGAATCTTCAGAAGAACAATGGGTTCACCCAGTACCTTCTGCTTTTGGGAAATTAAGAATCTTCAGATTGACAAGTTTTATCCCACTGGGTGATACTCCTTCATTCCTTAATGAAAGAAGTTTTATGTAAATTTAGGTATTTATTTTTTTTTTACTTTGAAATAAACAGCAAAATGGTAATTAGAGTGTTAATTTTGGAAAGTTTTAAGTGAACTATGGGGCTGGATGACTTGGAAATACGATTTAGAAATGAATTATAAGAATCCTTCCTGTGGGTTATTTAAAATCCTATTAAAATATATGAGTATTGTAAATCTAAGTGTAAGAAATCTTCCCATGGGAAAACGTTGTGGATTAGAAGAAACTGGGGTAAGAGTAAGCTTTGAAAGGTGGATGCTAGAGGCAACCAGAAAGAGCTAAAAATCACAATTAAAAGAGAAGAGACCCATTAATACAGGATGGAGAAAAATATTTTGATATCGGAGGAATTCTATAGTTGGCAACAATGCACTCAGAAATTTATCCTAAAAGTCTACTATCATAAAAATGTTTTAAAAGAGAAAATAGAAGAGGATACAATTGAGAGCCAGGGTATTTTGGATGTGGGTTTAAAAATGACAAGAATGATACGAAAAAAAGATGTAACAAAGTACTTGCAAACAAAACCAGCTGATTTCTTAATAACTAAAAGAGATTCACAAATAATAAATCAGAATAGTGACTTGGACAACTTTCTTATCTTGGACTTATTTTGGACTTACAAAAGAAATGTGCTATACTTGTGAAGGAGTTCCTGAGAAAGACAAACAGAAAATGAAAAGAAATCAGCTTTTGAGACATCATTTAAAGGGAATAAACATCAATATAGATGCTGTTATTTTTGGTATGTGTTAAACTTGCAACTTGCAGGAGGATTTTCTGAAAAGAGACAGGAGAAAATGATAAGAAATTAACTTGTGGGACCCTATTTGAAGGGATTAAAGAGTAAGATTTTTAATATGTTGCTGTTCCTAGTGACTCTTAATGGATTTTTCTTGAATGATGAGGCTTTAAAGGTTTGTTTACAGGTAAGAGATAAGAGATAAGATTAGGGGAACAAGGATATTTTTGTTCTATTTAAGAGAAAATAATAAGTTACTGTTTTAAAAGTAAAGGATAATGAAACATATTTTTGATTGACGTTAATATATATTGTTATTTCTGGTAACTTATTGTACTTTTGCTGGTTAGGATTGAATGGTGAGATTTTATATATATTTTAGATGTGATACGAGAACAGATGTATAAGCCCTACCCCAAAATAAACTCTAGTTTTGGGGCAAGGCACACATCTAAAAATCAAGTTAGGGTGGGGGTGGGGGGGTGGAGCTGCCCCACACACCCCGAACCCACTTACTTTGCAGCCAGGCCTCTCCTCCCCAGCCCACTTCTTTTGCGGCACCCTAGGCCTGCATTTCACAGTCAGAAGCCTTTCCGGAAGGCCTCTGCAGCCGAGAACAGAGCTTTGGATTGAACCCATAGCTCAGATCTCAGCTGCAGTGGCCTTCCAGAAAGGCCTTTGACTATGAAATGCAGGCCGGAGCTCCATTCTCAGCTGCAGAATGAAACTGCTGCTTTGGCCACAAAAGAAGTGGGCTGGATGGGCAGGGCTATCGGTGCCAGAGGTGAGTGGAAAACACACACACAGAGCCCCCCTGAAAATAAGACCTGGTGCCTCTTTTGGAGGCAAAAAAAAAAAAAAAGTCCGTGTCTTATTTTCGGGGAAACACGGTATGTAGGGCTTTAAAGGTGACAGCCAGCTCTGGGTTGGGGTTAGAGTTAGGGTTAGAGTGTGAGTGACTGTGAGCAAAGGCTATTGATCCAGAGAAGGCCATATCTAGTGTATATTATTTTAGTCTGCATTGGTCCTCTTGCATACAACCTTCACTTACTGTGTAAGTAGGAGCAATGAACCCTGAAGGACTCTACATGGAGGTTACGTCTGTCTGGGGAAGCATTACCTAATCCAAAATGAAGGATAGTCTATCTCTGGATATGGCTGACTTCCAAATATACAGACTTGTCTTGAATGGATTCAGTCTAAGCCTATTTTTTCCTATACAGAACCTAACATCCGCAAGAGATCAAATCAAGATATCCTGATTAGCCCAGGATACAGATATATGACTGAATATTATCAACATTTTGATGATACCTCAAACCCCATGATGATGGAACACCACTCCCAGCAGCTTCAAGGAGATTTTAAATAGTAGTAGGGAACAATTGAACTTTCAAGTAGCCAACTGAAGAAAATTGGCTCCCGTTTCCCAATTCTGACAGACAATCTAGGAAGACGATATCATGGTTAATAGTGCCCAAGAGGATTGGGATAATCATATCCCTCTATCTCATGCGCACCAAAGTTGATCAACAAGAGCAACCACTGCAATTTTGATCCCATATCCAGACCTGAATCTCAACCCCAATGATCCAGATAATCTGTTTCGATCAGGGCTGTTTGTAATTATAATCCAATAACTTCATATAACTAAGTGACCAAAAATAATAGAAAGTGAAAAAATAGTAAAAGCAATGAATTCTAAAACAAAACATTTTGTTTAAAATGATGTATAAAAGTAAAAAAACATTACCTGGATTACTTCAACTTTTAATTCTTCTCGCTCTTCTTCAGAAATCACATTGGTCAAATCAACATCAGTGATGGTGTCACCATCTGTCTCATGGAATGTTTGTTTTTCTAACAGACCTTTGGAAATAACACAGAGAAGAATGAAAATATAATATAAAGACTCCTTCAAAGCAAGCTTGATTCCTGGGNGGTCGCCAGCCGGCACTGTCTGGCTGACGGCACCCTGAGGAGACCCACTCTGTGGGAGCGTACCGGCCGATGGGAGGTAATCTGCGGCAGAAGGCGGTCTCGGAGATATCCAGGTCCGATGCCATGGAGCGCTTTGAAGATGATGACCCACACCTTGAAGCGCACCCGGAAGGCTACCGGCAACCAGTGCAGCTCGCGCAGCAGTACCTTCACCCAGTACCTTCTGCTTTTGGGAAATTAAGAATCTTCAGATTGACAAGTTTTATCCCACTGGGTGATACTCCTTCATTCCTTAATGAAAGAAGTTTTATGTAAATTTAGGTATTTATTTTTTTTACTTTGAAATAAACAGCAAAATGGTAATTAGAGTGTTAATTTTGGAAAGTTTTAAGTGAACTATGGGGCTGGATGACTTGGAAATACGATTTAGAAATGAATTATAAGAATCCTTCCTGTGGGTTATTTAAAATCCTATTAAAATATATGAGTGTTGTAAATCTAAGTGTAAGAAATCTTCCCATGGGAAAATGTTGTGGATTAGAAGAAACTGTGGTAAGAGTAAACTTTGAAAAATGGATGGTAGAGGCAACCAGAAAGAGCTAAAAATCACAATTAAAAGAGAAGAGACCCATTAATACAGGATGGAGAAAAATATTTTGATATCGGAGGAATTCAATAGTTGGCAACAATGCACTCAGAAATTTATCCTAAAAGTCTACTATCATAAAAATGTTTTAAAAGAAAAAATAGACGAGGATACAATTGAGAGCCAGGGTATTTTGGATGTGGGTTTAAAAATGACAAGAATGATACGAAAAAAAGATGTAACAAAGTACTTGCAAACAAAACCAGCTGATTTCTTAATAACTAAAAGAGATTCACAAATAATAAATCAGAATAGTGACTTGGACAACTTTCTTTATCTTGGACTTATTTTGGACTTACAAAAGAAATGTGCTATACTTGTGAAGGAGTTCCTGAGAAAGACAAACAGAAAATGAAAAGAAATCAGCTTTTGAGACATCATTTAAAGGGAATAAACATCAATATAGATGCTGTTATTTTTGGTATGTGTTAAACTTGCAACTTGCAGGAGGAGTTTCTGAAAAGAGACAGGAGAAAATGATAAGAAATTAACTTGTGGGACCCTATTTGAAGGGATTAAAGAGTAAGATTTTTAATATGTTGCTGTTCCTAGTGACTCTTAATGGATTTTTCTTGAATGATGAGGCTTTAAAGGTTTGTTTACAGGTAAGAGATAAGAGATAAGATTAGGGGAACAAGGATATTTTTGTTCTATTTAAGGGAAAATAATAAGTTACTGTTTTAAAAGTAAAGGATAATGAAACATATTTTTGATTGACATTAATATATATATATTGTTATTTCTGGTAACTTATTGTACTTTTGCTGGTTAGGATTGAATGATGAGATTTTATATTTTTTTTTAGATGTGATACGAGAACAGATGTATAAGCCCTACCCCAAAATAAACTCTAGTTTTGCGGTGAGGCACACATCTAAAAATCAAGCTAGGGTGGGGGGTGGAGCTGCCCCACGCACCCCGAACCCACTTACTTTGCAGCCAGGACTCTCCTCGCCAGCCCACTTCTTCTGCGGCACCCTAGGCCTGCATTTCACAGTCAGAAGCCTTTCCGGAAGGCCTCTGCAGCCGAGAACAGAGCTTTGGATTGAACCCATAGCTCGGTTCTCAGCTGCAGTGGCCTTCCAGAAAGGCCTTTGACTGTGAAATGCAGGCTGGAGCTCCATTCTCAGCTGCAGAATGAAACTGCTGCTTTGGCCACAAAAGAAGTGGGCTGGATGGGCGGGGCTATCGGTGCCAAAGGTGAGTGGAAAACACACACACAGAGAGACCCTGAAAATAAGACCTGGTGCCTCTTTTGGAGGCAAAAAAAAAAAAAAAAAAAAGACCGTGTCTTATTTTCGGGGAAACACGCTATGTAGGGCTTTAAAGGTGACAGCCAGCTCTGGGTTGGGGTTAGAGTTAGGGTTAGAGTGTGAGTGACTGTGAGCAAAGGCTACTGATCCAGAGAAGGCCATATCTAGTGCATATTATTTTAATCTGCATTGGTCCTCTTGCATACAACCTTCACTTACTGTGTAAGTAGGAGCAATGAACCCTGAAGGACTCTACATGGAGGTTACGTCTGTCTGGGGAAGCATTAACTAATCCAAAATGAAGGATAGTCTATCTCTGGATATGGGTGACTTCCAAATGTACAGCCTTGTTTTGACTGGATTCAGTCTAAGCCTATTTTTTCCTATACAGAACCTAACATCTGCAAGAGATCAAATCAAGATATCCTGATTAGCCCAGGATACAGATATATGACTGAATATTATCAACATTTTGATGATACCTCAAACCCCATGATGATGGAACACCACTCCCAGCAGCTTCAAGGAGATTGTAAATAGTAGTAGGGAACAATTGAACTTTCAAGTAGCCAACTGAAAGTTGCTCCCGTTTCCCAATTCTGACAGACAATCTAGGAAGACGATATCATGGTTAATAGTGCCCAAGAGGATTGGGATAATCATATCCCTCTATCTCATGCGCACCAAAGTTGATCAACAAGAGCAACCACTGCAATTTTGATCCCATATCCAGACCTGAATCTCAACCCCAATGATCCAGATAATCTGTTTCGATCAGGGCTGTTTGTAATTATAATCCAATAACTTCATATAACTAAGTGACCAAAAATAATAGAAAGTGAAAAAATAGTAAAAGCAATGAATTCTAAAACAAAACATTTTGTTTAAAATGATGTATAAAAGTCAAAAAACATTACCTGGATTACTTCAACTTTTAATTCTTCTCGCTCTTCTTCAGAAATCACATTGGTCAAATCAACATCAGTGATGGTGTCACCATCTGTCTCATGGAATGTTTGTTTTTCTAACAGACCTTTGGAAATAACACAGAGAAGAATGAAAATATAATATAAAGACTCCTTCAAAGCAAGCTTGATTCCTGGGTCTTCACGGACAAGTCATAGTGGGGAGACACAAAGAAAACACAAATACAGATAGTCCTTGATTTGCAGCAGCAACTGAGCCCAAAATTTCTGCTGCTAAGCGAGACATTTGTTAAGTGAGTTTTGCCCCATTTTATGACCTTTCTTGCCATAATTATTAAGTGAATTACTGCAGTTAAGTTAATAACATGGCTGTTAAGTGAATCATGCTTCCCCATTGACTTTGCTTGTCATAAGATCACAAGAGATGATCACATGGGGGACACTGAATGGTTGTAAGTGTGAAAAAGGTCATAAGTCACTTTTCCCAGTGCTGTTGCAACTTCCAATGGTCACTAAATGAGCTGTTGCCAGTCAAGGACTAGCTGTAAGAAATAATCATTAGTGTTTCATTCTTGAAAGTATAAATAGGTGTACAAGTCCAGCTTTCTAGAAATAAATTTATAACATGAACACAAGCAGTTTAATAATTTAAGTGTAGGGTGTGTTCCTTGTGTTAAGAGAAAGTGAACAACTTGATATATACATTAGGCCAGTAGTGGCGAACCTATGGCACGGGTGCCAGAGGCGGCACTCGGAGCCCTCTCTGTGGGCACGCGCGCCGTCGCCCCAGTCCTAGGCCTTCAGCTGGGTTTTATAAAACCTTTTCGCTTTAGGCCTCCGCCACCGTGTGCAAAAAAAAAAAGGTTCAATTAATCAGTCAATTTCAACTTCTCGTGGGAAAAAAAAGATCTTGCAAAGTTGGAATTGATTGATTGAACTTTTTAGTCCCACCCAGTCTGCTGTTACCACGCCCACCCAATGGGCCACACCCACCTAATGGGCCATACCCACCTGGCATCCGATGATGCATAAGTGGGTTTTGGGTTGCAGTTTGGGCACTCAGTCTCTAAAAGGTTCGCCATCACTGCATTAGGCTGTCCAAGACTATCCAGTAAATATTTTCAAGCTCAAATAAAACTTATCCTTAGGATCCTCGTACTCAGTTTTCCATATAGATTGTCAACTCGTTTGACCATATGACTTACTTTGCTCAATACGATGTACTGGACGTCTTTATTATAAAGAAGATTTATAATAGATGGCTTGAATTTAGTTTTAAAAATAGAACCAAAGGTTCTTGAGACCTAGTACAAATTTATGAAGCTTAAAAATTGTAGACATGCTGTAAAATATCAGGTCCAAATTTTCTACAGAGAACAGTACATGTTGACCAACTAACATATGTTCAATTCTTTGCTGCCAGATCTAAAATTCAGTTTTTCTCCATTACATATACTTTGTACGGCTCATTAATTTAGACCTTATGATGATTTAAATGGCACAAAAATATATTCAAAAGAAATAACAAAGGAACTTTGGAAGGAAACAGAGCATCTGTGTAATTTCCAAAGAGCTATTCAGTTCAGGTAGTTACTAAATGCCTTCACATTTCTTTATGTATTCTGGTTAAAATGTCAACCTTAAGGGAAGTTAATTAAAGCCAATTACATCATTCATAAGCAATAACATCATACAAAGTTACTGTACTTCTTGTTCTGTTCCTTAAACTAATATTTTAATTCTATAGATCTTGTAAAGCAAACCACTACTGCACAGTTGTTTAATATTAAAAGTGATGTAGCAACCTCATGCTTCTGAAAATACTTTTCCTGAACCACACCACTTTATTTCAATAATAAACCAGATAGGGAGAACAAGGAGAAGACAAATTTCCTGCAACTGATCAGACCTAATATTAACTGTATAAAAGAAATGGAACCAGTTCTTAAGAACAATTAAAATGTTCAGAAAATAGCTCACAATTCATTCTCAGGACATAGATTTTGGAGGTCAGAAGAGTCAGTATTAAGATATGTTGGATCTTACTTCTAAGGATAGAAACAAATTGACTTCATTGTCCTTTTATCCATACTCTAACCCAAA